GATGTCCCACCTGGGAAGCATAGAACACAATGTGAATATTAAGGAATTGTGGCCCACAGAGGCACGATGCTGGATCATTGCCCCTTTGTCATGGGTTGGGCTTCCTGGCCCAGACTACATCCACAGGCCTGAAAACCTCACACCTGTCACTCTCCCAACTCAGCCAGCCGTCTGGGATTTCAGCAAATGGAGAAATCCCCCAAACCTGAAAAAAAAAAGAAAAACCATGGAATCCAAGTAACATTCTAGAATTTATTTGGAAACTTTTGAGAACAATTAGAAATAAAAAAGTGATAATCATTAGGCAACAACAAGAAGTCAAGTAGGACTGGATGGTTTTCCTGTTCAATAAAGGAACTGAAATGGAAGGCAGAAATGTGGTAGAAATGATGCATATGAGTTTCATCAAGGCAGTTTTCATACTATCTCAAGATTTCATTGTGGATTTGATGAGAAAATAGGGATTGGATAACTGAAGAGTTCAGTGGGCTCACAACTAGGTTTGCATAACCAAACCCAGAGTGCTAAAGTGTGTCAAACACTTGTATTTCTCTATAGTATGTATTTAATTCTTACAGCCATTACAGTTGACACTTCTATCTCTACTTTACAAATGAATAAACTGCCGGAGAGGGTTTAAATATTGTAACTTCCTCAAGATCACAGTTCTTAGGTCAGAGCTGAGACTCAAGCCCAGACTGTTCACTTAATGGTGTAGTTATATGAATGATATCCATCGATTTGTGAATGACCAAGTGAAATGTACAGCTAAAGTGGAAAGTTATAGATTTGGTATTAAGAGAACTAATAGACTGGAAAATTCAGCCAAATTAATGAAGCAAAATTAATTGAGGCAGATATAAACTCATGCACTTAAGTAACAGTTGTAAAAGGGAAGCCTGGGGAAATAGGACTTACTTATAGGTCAAATGAGGAAGTGTTAAGGAGCTCCTTTACCATAGGCTTATTATGGCTAATGATCAGGTTGTCAACAAAACGAAGCCTTAGCCAGGGGTCCTCAAACTTTTTAAAGTGGGAGCCAGATCACGGTCCCTCAGAGAGCTGGAGGGCCGGACTATATGAACTACTAATTCATACTGTAACACCTCGGCTGCGCTCACTGCCCAAAAAACCTGGCGGGCCGTAGTTTGAAGACGCCTGCTAGGCCATAGAATGAGTTAGGAGGATTGTGAGTGAGTCCCCGCTCTAGCTCCCCATCCAGTCTCCGTTTGAACCAGTTCTGTGACTCACTACCTCCTCAGACAGCGCCTGCTGTCCAGAGACACCAGATGTAATGGGAAGCAAGGGAGGGGAGCATGGGATCGCAGGCAAAGGGAAGGGTGAGCAAGACTATGGAAATGGTTTGGGAATGTGTATTCCACAGTGACTGTCCTCCCTGGGAAGATGAGAGGAACATTTAAAACACTGACATAACCTTCTTCTTCCCATTGATAATTCCCCTGCCCCATGTGGCTCTTTGCCAAGCCATCTTTCCATTTCTGATGCTAATCCTCATGAGCGCTAAGATTGCTCAGTTGGAATGAACCCACTAAGTAGTTTTTAGGCGATTCCCTTTATTAGCATTGAACCTAAATGGTGGCAGCAGACTAGTGGAATAGCATCGCCTGGGATTCAGCTTCAGAGGTCAGAACCCCTGCCTTGCTGTTGTCTGGCTCTGAGGCACTGGCCTTAGCCTCAACTTCTGTCCTCCTAGTTTCCTGTCTGTACAATAGAGATGGTGCTACAACCTTGTGAGGATGCAGTGACTCAGACAGACAGGGATACAATCACCCACCATAGTCCTGGGGGATTTTGTTTTGCTTACTGTTGTATCTCCAAAGCCTAGGACAGTGGAGCTGCTTTAAACGTTGGTTAAATTAGCACTGAATGAATGAACAAATGGATGAATGAATGAATGAATGAATATGCTCAGTATTTAATAGCTCTTGCTAAAAGGATGGTAGTGTTATCAGACATGAGAGTCTTTGTAAAACAATAGGCTGATTATTCAGAGGCTTCAAGAAGGAGAATATTTTGTCCTAGCTACCGGTACATCCCCATCCCCATCCCCACCCCCTGTCATCATGTAGCATAGCTTTAGGATTTTTAAAAAGCTAAACTAAAATTGTGACGATTATGTAGTCTTTGTATTGTTTCTTCAGTTCTTACCCTGTATTTTCCATGGGGTGTCTAGCATGGTCTCATTTTGTCTAACTGTATTGTTTGAAAAGTTTGAAATGAAAAATAGTGAAATAAACCAGTCAGAGAAAAGAAAGTACCACACGATCTCACTCACATTTGGAATCTAATGAACAAAATAAACTGATGAATAAAATAGAACCAGAGACACAGAAGCATGGAACAGACTGTGGAATCTGAGGGGAGGCGGGAGTGGAGGAGTGGGAGGGGAGTGATTAATCAGAGAACTTATGTGCACACGTGCATAACCCATGGACACAGGCCATAGAGTGGTGAAGGCCTGGGAGGGGTGGATGGTTACAGGGTAAAGGGGTCAATGGGAAAAAAATCCACAATCAAAAGGGACATCTGTAATATTTTCAACAATAAAGATAAATTAAAAAAAAACAACAACAACAAAAAACAAGTTAGCCATTCAGAAATAGATTTTTTTAGGTAGATTAATTTTCAAAGACATTTTCCCTCACTAATACTTCCTCATATTTTTTTTAAAGGAGCATTTAGTAAACTAACAAGAGTATTTTTTCAGTTTCTGGTTGTCTCTATTTCAAGACTGAGTTTGGTAATTGTATAATATTAGCTGCTGGTCAATGCCCAGGATGTAAAACAAGGTGAAAATGAAACCACATGAAATCCTCAGTGTGATTTACTAGTAGTTGCTTTCCTAGAGTGCAGTGAAACTTGGGTACTTGGTTTTATTTGTTTTGGAGCCTATGATAGCAGTCAGATTATAGCATGCTTTTGCAAAACTAAAAGGACAAAGAATCAAGTTGAAATGGTTTATAAAAAAAAAAAAGATCTAGTTTTCGATTTAGTATTTTGAAAATAACAGAGCAAGTAAGGTCTAGTTTCAGAACCTGTAGGCAACCATGACAGTGGCTAACGCAAAAAACTGGGTGGGGTGGGGGTGAGAAGGAACTCTCTCGTTTGCTAAAAGGAAAACGAAACAAGGGCGTTATCTCTTTGCTTCATTACGAGCAGGACAGGCGTGTAATTGAAACCACACATGTAGCACCTTTCACATACTGCCTTCTGATGTCAGCTAACTGCTCACTGCCTGCCCATCTTATCTCCTGTCGATCTGATACTGCGTTATAATTAGCTACACACACTGCATGGCGCCAGGACACCCAGCGCACTCCCAATACATATTTACTGACTGAGTGTGCACGAGGCAGGTAGGTTTTCTTCCCGGTCTCACACGTGACTTGTTTCTGCCCGAGAGGTTTCAGCCTTGCTCTTCCTCTTCCCTGGAATGCCATTCCATTCACTGTCTCTCAGAACCCCACCCTGATTTAACCCATCTAAACTAAAGCCCTCTCTAGAAGCTCCTTTTACAGACATGGTTGGTGTCATTTCATCAGGATTTGTTTAAGATTCAGCCACTGGCATTCTTATTTCTCTTGGCTCTGATACACCCCGTGCCCACCATATACACTCCCAAGAATAGGCATGTATCCAATGGAAGGTTACTCGGCCATAAAAAGGAATGGAATCTTACCATTGGGGACAGCATGGGTGAACCTAGAGGGTATTGTGCCAAGTGAAATAAGCCAGGCAGAGACAAGTACCATATAATTTCGCTTACACCTGGAATCTAAAACGCAAAAGGAATGGACAAGCAAAGCAAACAAACCTCAGCCTGCCATATGGCTCAATGTCCAGGGAACATTCTGATGGTAGCCAGATGGGAGAGGGGTCGGGGGGGGGGGGGGGGGGGGAGAGAAGGGCTGGGGGGGAAAAGGGGAAGGATGAAGAGTACAATGAGGATGTGAAGGACAGCATAGGGAATACACTCAATAACATGGTAGTCCTGTGCGTGGGCACGAGACTTAATCATGGGAAATCACTTCTCAAGTTACATTAACGTCTACACCCTATGTGGTACACCGAAACTAACATAATATTGTATGTCAACTTTAATTGGAAAAATTTTTTTTAATTTATTTTTTATTTTTTCATTTTTAATAAGGTATTATATGCATACATATCTTACCATTGCCCCTTGTACTCCACTCCCATACATGCTCTCACCCCCCAGAGTTTTGCGTCCATTGGTTATGCTTATATGCATGCACAGAAAAAAATTTTTAATTATTAAAGAAGTTAATTAAAAGGAAGAAAGACTAGGCATCGAGTCTTATTTTTCATAGGGACACATACACGATGCCCCTCCACACAGTGTCCGGCTCAAGGGGAACACACTCCCTCACAGACGTGTTCTGCAGCAGGATGACAAGATATTCAGCCTTAGTTAAACAGGCAGCACTGCTTACTTGTCTCGTCTCAGCCTGCCAAGAACGGGTATTCATGGGATCAAGGCTATGAGAGATGGATCTTTTATATCAACAAGTGACCAAAACCTAATACGTTCACACCTCAGAACTGCTTCCAGGTACGATAGATTGGACAGCTAACCAGAAAGTCTTCCAAAGGGAAGTAATGTGTGGTGTAATATTTATTTGAGAGGCCTGTACAGTAGATGTACGAAAATAGTTTGGATTTATTCAGGCTTTGGAGGAGATTAAACTGCATATCGCTAAGGCTCATAAGCCATTCTGAGCATCTGATACTTTTCGGATGTCCCGCAGTGTGATGGAGCCCTGTGGCAGGTTGGGTTGGAGCTCAGTGCAAAGTAGAGGCTGAGGCATCTGCTCCCGGGCCTTTTCTGCCATAAACCAAAGGACAAGGCGGCCTGGCTGACACCCCATCGCACGCACATGCTGTCCACAACAATAAAGGTGCATGTAAAGGTGCGATGAGTGGTTAAGTATGTTTAGCATTGGGGTGGAAACCAGTTATTTGTTTTCTCATGATCCGTGGAAAAGGTAAAATTTCAGTCTTTCTGTTTTGAACAGAGCATAGGCTAATCTAGTGGTTGGGTTCTCCTTAATGCAATGAAGGCTCTGCATTTAGAAATAAAATAAGAAGAGGTTGGGGAAGTTACTGGTTAAAGGTAAGGACACATGGGACCTAATGCAGGAAGGTGTGGGAGCTTTGGGGCTCATGATTAGACCTTGACTCTGAGGAGGACTAAAACTTTCAGGGCTGGAGACACGGGGGGAGGGGGGAAGGGAAAGGTTGGAGGGGGTGTAGACCCCTGGCTAGGACAGCCTTTGACAGTGCTGGTTTTAAATGGTGGCATTTAGAATGGTAACCCAGTACTAGGTGTTGAAAACAGGAGAATAAATTATTAAAGACATGCTGCAACCAAGAAAGGAGAAATACAATGAGATGACATTTATTCCTCTTTTCCCACATGTCTTTATTGAACATTTAATTGTCAAAGGGATTCTACTGGGCACTTTGGAAAAGAGAAAGAAGAAGTGGAATTTGCCAGAGACAGGCTTTTGGAAAGAAATGAATTATTTTTGTATTTTAGTAAATCTATTAATATCTTGTATATTTGAAGCATTTTAGAGTATTTCTTCATCTCCCGCAAACAGCATATTTCTGGTAGCAAATTTCATTTTGTATTACAGTCAGAAATTGAAATGAAATTCACTTTAGATAGTAAATATGACCTCTCAAATTTTGAACATGTCATAAAATAGTCGAAATGAGTTTTTATTATCTGTGATTGCATTAGAATAAACTCAAGGACATGAAAGTCATATTAATTCTCTTTTTACCCATCCTGATACCAGTGCCTGAAATCAGAACGTGCGAAGAGACTTAGTCCTGTTCAGGTGGCTCTTTTAGTAGCTGCAAAACGTCATGTGAACTTTGCCCTTTCTGTGTGGCAACTGTTTATTGTCTTCCAAAGGCGGGCACCTTCACTATGAAGTTGGTCACGAAGGACTGATCCCATCTGGGAACCCGTGACCTGGCATGGGTTTCCGAGCCGGGCTGCATGGGCTTAGCTTGTGCCTGATAAGTGTTAAGACCCCGGGAAACCAATGACCCTGTGGACATAGGGCCCTGAGGGTGTCTACCCTCCTGGCATTGTGCAGTGGGGTGTGGCGGTGGGGAGGGGAGAGCACAGCCATCGGAGGGTTACCTGTGCTCAGGGCTATATGTCCAGGGCCACCTCCATCACTGCCCAGAGGCAGGACCACAAGTCTCAAGGCTCAGTTTCCCATCTACAGCATGGAGGGAAGTGGGCACGCAGCCCCACAGGCTGTGGAGACTCTAAGGAGAATGGTTATGTTTCCGTTGTAGCACTTTCTGCGTGTCAAGCGCTGAGTTCATCGCTTTACAGATGTGAACGCACCTTGTCCTCATGGCCACCCTAGGCAGTGGTGAGCTGCGATGGCTCTGCGTTTGCTGATGAAACGGAGGCAGGGGAAGGCTGAAGTAAACTTGCTCAAATCCCGACAGCAGCAAGAAGCCACGTTGGGATTTAAAGTTGGTTGGATTGTCATTACTTATTTTCTATCCGATGAGATAAGAGAGAATCTAAATGGCAGAAAATATTATAGGCAGGTGTTTTCTTTTTGCCATCATTTAAGGGCCCAAGATACTACGGCTTCTGAAAGAGGCACCTTAATTAAAACAGATGCTCTAGGGACTTCCTGGCTGACTGCCCATGAGTGGTCAGTGAGATGGGGACCCAGGGAGGCCTAGCCCCACAGAGAAAGGTTGCCTAAGAACAGGTTGAACTTATGTGTTAGTTTTCAAAACATCAAACCAGGACACAAGTGACATATATATAGGTGTAACTTGCCGACCGGTAGAACAGGCGCAACCGATAAGAAAACCTCCTTCATTCTGCCCCTCAACGGTTATCCCACCCCCATACTCCTCACACTAGCTGTTGAGTGGCAGACACTGGACATTGCACCACAAGAACTTCATCCCTTGGAGCGAGAGCATGACCCCTCACACGATGCACACAGTCCTGGGCATGGTGGGGCATTAAAGTCAGCCAGCGGATACTTCCGGCGAAGTCCAGGCTGGAACAGGTTTCGGGAGAGCGAGCGCCGGGGTGCCGTGCTCGGAATGTTTACTGATTGATCGCGATGCCTGTGCTGGTGTCACCGGAAGATTACAGGCCCTCGGCCAGGACCACACTCAGAAAGTGACCTTTGGAAGGGTGACTGCAGGCCCGGCCTGCACTGTCCCAGCCTCCGGGGCAGCCCAAGGAGAGGCTGCAAACTCATTCCTCTAACCCCGTGGCTTTCCCAAGGGAAGAAGGAGGAGAACTGGGCCTTCTCGGACGGGCCTGCAGACGGGAGCGCTGGCAGCTTTACAAAGAGGAAGTGCTTTCCCTGCAGGTGAGCCCCTGAGCCTCCGGTGGCTGTGGCCAGCAGCTGCTCGCTCAGCCACACCCAGGATCCTGCCACCCATCCAGGTGCCCAGCCCCGCCTGCGTCACTTCTGAGCTGACTTACCGGTCACCGTCAGTGCGGGCTGATAAAGGGGGCCAGGCGGGGAACGAGGCTTGTTTGCCTGTTGGGAAAGCCGGCAGCCGGGCCGGGCCCTGGGAAACCCTGAGTTGGAGCTTCAGGAAGCCTTACACCGTGAGTGGAGGTGGATTTTGTTGGAAGGTCTTGGGCGGCACAGTGAGGGGTGGGCGAGAGGCGGGCGGGGGCCGGCTGCCGAGTTCTCTGTGCCGGGCGCCAGGCTCTGCCTCCTCCCCTGGTGTTCCTTCCACCGGGTGGATTAGTACATCACACGCTGTTTGCAGTCAGCAGCGCCCGTGGCATTTCAGGGAAGCAGGAAGAGCCGGGGCCTCTGCCGCTTTGAGGAAATCATTAAGTGCTTACCAGGAGACTCCTGGCTGAATGAATCGGGCTTGCGGGGAGCTTGTGGAAGCCAGGATGTGCTCTGAAGAGAGGAGGGCGTCCCCCAGCACCTGTTTATTCCACAGCCAAGGAGCCACCCGCCCCAGCGCTGGCTCCGAACCTGTCACCTCTGCTTGCCAGGTTTTCTCAGGATCGCTCCTGGCCAGGCCAGGGACACACGCAGAACCACAATGCATGTTTTCTTGGGAGATGAGTGTGCAGTGTTATCCATAAAAAGAGGCAGATAAAGAACGTTTTTGTAAAGCAGACAGCTCTCTTCCCTCCACCCCCCTCCCTCCCGTGCCCACTGCCAGCCTGCCTCTAGCCCCGGGCTGAGCCAGGCTCTGTGAGGAGACTTGCAAGTTGGGCGGATCTCAGCCCCGGTGTTGCTCTGCCCAGAACATTGAGCCGGGGCAATTCCAACTCCCGTTTCCTCAGAACCTTCCGTGCTTCTCTGTACACGTCTGTCTCCGCCCGAGGACGGGAGCGCCTCTGGGGGCCAGAGCTCTGGACTGGGAGGGCCAGCTCAGTCCTCAGCTCAGCATCTTTCCGGCCGTGGGACGTGGGTAAGCACTTAGCTCCCTGTGCTCCCATTTCTTTTGCTATAACATGAGGATAATGAGCTTCCCAGGGTGCTGAGGAGAATCAGGTCCTGAGTTATTCCATGGGAAGTGCTTGGAGCAGGGCGGGTGCACAGTCAGAGCCCAGTGCGAGTTATTCTGTAACCACCGCCAGAACTCCCCGGGGACCTGGCCCGTGGTGAGTGTTCAGTCACTGAATGTCACATACATCGGAGGGAAAGCACTGACTGCCCTTTCTGTAGGGCGGCCCGGAGCCAGCTGGGAGCTGGGGGAGGGCAAAAAGGAAGGGACAGGCACGATATTCCCTTTTTGGTGTCTGGGGACTTTGTGGTGAGAGGCAAGGAGAACTGTGCTTGGTCTTTTGTCTGAACTCCCATGGGATTTGGGGTTTGCTCGGCGGGTGGGGGTCCGTGGACAGGGTGAGGGTGGGGGTGCTGGGAGAGGGTGGGATTTATTCTCCTGACCCTCACCACGTGGCCACTTCACCATCCCCGAGAGGTGTCTAAGCACAGCCATGCTTTAGAGATGGAGCTGACATCATAGCATCTTGAAAGAACTGCGCGTAATTGAATTGCTGATACAAGTGGCTACTTGCCCCAGGCTCGGGTCGCCCCCCATCTCTATGGAAACACATGGTTGGTGGAAAGCCCGGCCATCAGAAGCAGAGTCAGCGTCACTTAAAAAAGCAGGTCACTTAAAAAAAAAAAGACATTTATTTATATTCTCAAACCGTCAGAGACCTAACAAGTAAAATAATTTCAAATTAAATAGAAAAGCCATGCTCTGGAAGAATGCCAAGGGAGTCTCCCGGAACACACACACACACACACACAAACACACACCCCTCCCCCCAGCCCCCCGTCCCCACGCGGTGTGCGATTCCTGCATTTATTTTCGCTGTCCTTTGCTCTTTCGCTCCCATTCTCCCATTTGCATTCTGCCGCTGTGGGGAGCGGTTTGTCACTTTATGCAAAAATGGCTAATCTTCATTCATATGCACTTGGCAGCACGAAGTCGGAAAATTCAAAGGGGGCCTGCCCTGGTGCGCTCCGAGCTGCCCTGGGCCTCCGGGTGGGGCACCCACAGGGCAGGCAGCCCGAGGGCCGTGCCTCCCGCACCCACTCAGGGCCGGGCGTGAGGACCTGCTCCCAGAAAGGTCTGGAGCTGCATCGGCACAGCCTGCCCTGGACGTGCTCCGGTGATAGTCTCGGTGATGGGGAGCTTTTATCGGGCCCTGCAAGCAGGCCTTTTCAAACAAGTAGTGACTGTTAATGACCTGTTTAAATAAAACATTCCATTTTCCTTCTCCCCGCCACAGAGGACTTGGTAGGCAGTGACATTTCCAATCCAGAAGCTAACCCTGCTTTTCTTCTAAAGAGGCAGAGCCAGGGCTTTCAGATGTGAGATTTTTGTCTGCCATGGGCCCTTGAAAAGCTTTTCAGTGAAGTTGTTCTAGCAGTGGGTTCGGTGCATTGAAGTGTTTTTGAATAAATATGCAACCTTGAGATTCTCCCTTTCCTTCCCTCCCCAAATAAGCAGAAAAGTTTAGGTAAATATCTTTGTGTGAAAGTGGTATTTCAGTCACCGGGCTGTGTTTCATTGTTTGTGTGTCCTCATTCCTAATAATGAAAGCAGCTTCCCTCTAAGGAGCAGGCACTGCACAGGAACTTTTATTAAACCGGGACTTCAGCCCCGGAAGAGAGAGCGGGGCTCTTGGCACGTGAGACTTCAGTACTAAAAAGACCAGGCGAGGAACAGCAGAGGCACGGAGGGGAAGGGAAGAGGGGGTCAGACAGGAGAGAGATTAGGCAATGAACAAGGTGAGCACCAGAACAATTATTAACATCATGTTAAACTCAGACAAAGCCCCCATTTTATAGGACCCTTTCCCTTTCAGCTGGTGGTGGGAGGTGACAGGACATTTAGTCCTTGGCCAGTTTCAAGATGATTGTACTGACGTCACCATAAAAACGAAAACAAAAACAAAAAAAACAAAAAAAAAAAAAACAGCCAACCTGAAGAGAATCGGTATGAGTTAATCTGAGCCAAGCTGACAACAATTGCCGGGAAGCAAAATCTCAAGGGCTTGAAAAAAACGCTCCGTCCAGCGAATGGCAGCCTTGCCGCTTCCTTTCTGCGTTAGAATCAAAGGAAGAGGCAGAGGAGGGAGGGTGAGTGGAATCGATTGGCGGTGGATCGGGGAGGTAGGAGGAAGCCACGCGTGGGACTCTCCAGGAGTGGACGGAGAGGCACCGGCAGACACGTAGACAGTCCTTTACCTGGGTGGCTGCAGGGTAGTTGGCAATTAACGTTTACAGCACACAGAGTTGGAATTCCGGAACGAGATAACGGTGAGGTCCCTGGCTCTGGGTGCAGTAGGTGTGCCCTGAGGGTCTGGAACAGGGGATTACTAGGGCATTCCAAAGGTCATGTTATCTTTGATGCCTGGATCCCACTAGCTGGCTCACTTCCTGTGAAGCTTGGTCTTTGTCAGGGAAGCTACAGGCCTAGGACGCGGCAGCTTTCGGTTAGGAATGTTATGTTCAGGCCAGCCTATGCAGTAACCTTTGGCCTCTGAGTTTGTAAGGCTCACCAGGCTGCCCACCTCTCCCCACCCCCTTCCCCCAATCCTCCCGCCCAAGCCTGTCAGGTTTAGCATGTGGTCTCTTTTTCGTCCACACAGAGAAATAGCCTAGTGCATTGGAGACAACACCCACACCTTTTATTTTTTTTAAGTTGAATTTTCAGCTGTTTGCTACCTACTTGCCTGGCACATTATAATTATGTGCTCCATACGTGTGGCAATTGTTATTTTAAATCATTATTTTAAGATGTATTCTTGGGCATTTCCTCTGGTTTCATAATTCAATGAAAAGAAAAGTGACGTAATGCCTGGGAACTCGAAAGTGAATCTAAGAGCAGTCAGAGGTTCCAGGGAAATAAAAGTGAAACTTTGTCACTACCTGCATAATAAAACACGATGAAAAACAGTCCATTGGGAAATCATCAAGCAATTTGGCATTTCAGCACATTGTTTTAACTTCTTTATATTTAAATGATTGCATGAGAAATATCAATTTATATATATTTTTTAAGCTGTTAATCAGATTGTCACATATATAACCCTTCACTGAATTGTCTTCATTAGAAATGCTGAAACAAACATATTCGCCAGAATTGGTATTATTCAGTTTTAGTTTTTATAAAGAATATTTATCTCTGTCATAGACTAATAGATTTTATGACTGGCATTAATGCATATTAAGTAAGATCTTTGCGTAGCAAGTAGCTCAGTTTGCATAACTTTGAGCATGAAGTGATTGGTGGCACCCATATTTGTGGTGTATTAATTTTCCACTGGAGGAGTGTATAGATGATATATCGGTGATAAATGGTGAAATTCTTTTCTTTGGAATTGATTTTTTTTTCCTAATAAGTTTTTGATGATGGAAGATATATATCTAGAGAGAAGAGATTAATTTGTTATTTCATAAATAAAATTTCAGCCAACAATTTTCTTGATCTTTATTTTTCTCTAGGATATATATATATATATATATATATATATATATATAATTAGATGACAGCTATATATGTTGGTAATGTTATTACTGAAAAATAAAGTATAATTTAGAGGGAAAATATTTCAAATAATACCTAAGCTACTGAAATGTTGCATGAGCATCAGGACTTACATTTCTGGTTATTTAATTGTATATTGATTTTTTTATATGCCTGGAACATGTATCACGGATTTGAATAGTCGGGCCTCGGTAACTGGCTGGTTCCAAGAGCAGTTTTAAGTGGTAATGGTTAAAAACCACGTTCTTTCCCAAGAAGCCAGAAGTCCCTTCTTGTGGATGCGCAGCTCTTGCCATCAAGCTCTGCTGGGAGGTGGGCATCACACACACCCAGGAGTGACGCTGTCTCCTGTGGTGACCAAGCATGGGGGGAGGGAAATAGGAGTCTGTTGGGCCCGAACTGCTGTCACTCACGGCGTTACAGGTTTCTGGGGTTGACAGGTTTCTG